GTTACGTTATGTATTGCTATATTCTGTGTTGTTATGAATTGCTATATTCTGTTATGTTACGTTATGTATTGCTATATTCTGTGTTGTTATGAATTGCTATATTCTATTATGTTATGTATTGCTACATCCTGTTATGTTATGTATTGCTATATTCTGTGTTATGTTATGTATTGCTATATTCTATGTTAGGTTATGTATTGCTATATTCTATGTTAGGTTATGTATTGCTATATTCTGTGTTATGCTATGTATTGCTATATTCTGTGTTGTTATGTATTGCTATATTCTCTGTTACGTTATGTATTGCTATATTCTATGTTATGTTATGTATTGCTATATTCTGTGTTGTTATGTATTGCTATATTCTGTGTTATGTTATGTATTGCTATATTCTGTGTTATGTTATGTATTGCTACATTCTGTTTCATGTTATGTATTGCTATATTCTATGTTATGTTATGTATTGCTATATTCTGTGTTATGTTATGTATTGCTATATTCTGTGTTGTTATGTATTGCTATATTCTATGTTATGTTATGTATTGCTATATTCTGTGTTGTTATGTATTGCTGTATTCTATGTTACGTTATGTATTGCTATATTCTGTGTTATGTATTGCTATATTCTGTGTTATGTTATGAATTGCTATATTCTATGTTATGTTATGTATTGCTATATTCTATGTTATGTTATGTATTGCTATATTCTGTGTTACGTTATGTATTGCTATATTCTATGTTACGTTATGTATTGCTATATTCTGTTATGTTATGTATTGCTATATTCTGTGTTATGTTATGTATTGCTATATTCTATGTTATGTTATGTATTGCTATATTCTATGTTATGTTATGTATTGCTATATTCTGTTTCATGTTATGTATTGCTATATTCTATGTTATGTTATGTATTGCTACATCCTGTTATGTTATGTATTGCTATATTCTGTCTTATGTTATGTATTGCTATATTCTGTGTTATGTATTGCTATATTCTGTGTTGTTATGTATTGCTATATTCTGTGTTATGTATTGCTATATTCTGTGTTATGCTATGTATTGCTATATTCTGTGTTATGTTATGTATTGCTATATTCTGTGTTATGTTATGTATTGCTATATTCTATGTTATGTTATGTATTGCTATATTCTATGTTATGTTATGTATTGCTATATTCTGTGTTATGTTATGTATTGCAATATTCTATGATGTTATGAATTGCTATATTCTATGTTATGTTATGTATTGCTACATCCTGTTACGTTATGTATTGCTATATTCTGTGTTATGTTATGAATTGCTATATTCTATGTTATGTTATGTATTGCTATATTCTATGTTATGTTATGCATTAAGCAAGTATTCTGTGTTATGTTATGTATTGCTATATTCTTATGTTATGTTATGAATTGCTATTCTGTGTTGCTGCGAATTGCTATATTCTATGTTATGTAATTGCTATATTCTGTGCTGGTGTGTTTGCTATTTGTGTTATGGCGTATTGCTATATTCTGTGTTATGTTGGCGTATTGCTATATTCTCAAAAGCGTTATGTATTGCTATATTCTATGTTATGTTATGTATTGCTATATTCTATGTTATGTTATGTATTGCTATATTCTGTGTTATGTTATGTATTGCTATATTCTGTGTTATGTTATGTATTGCTATATTCTGTGTTACGTTATGTATTGCTATATTCTGTGTTATGTATTGCTATATTCTGTGTTATGCTATGTATTGCTATATTCTGTGTTATGTTATGTATTGCTATATTCTGTGTTATGTTATGTATGGCTATATTCTGTGTTATGTTATGTATTGCTATATTCTATGTTATGTTATGTATTGCTATATTCTGTTTCATGTTATGTATTGCTATATTCTATGTTATGTTATGTATTGCTACATCCTGTTATGTTATGTATTGCTATATTCTGTCTTACGTTATGTATTGCTATATTCTATTATGTTATGAATTGCTATATTCTGTGTTATGTTATGTATTGCTATATTCTATGTTATGTTATGTATTGCTATATTCTGTGTTATGTTATGTATTGCTATATTCTATGTTATGTTATGTATTGCTATATTCTGTGTTATGTTATGTATTGCTATATTCTGTGTTATGTTATGTATTGCTATATTCTATGTTATGTTATGAATTGCTATATTCTG